GAATGGTCCAAACAAAACGTTTGCAAGCTAAGTTCACTTTAACTAAAGGAAGAAGCCTCGATTACATCAGTAACATATGCAACAGCTTGAGTTGTTTATCTGAACTGGTTTTGATCACTTTCTTTGCGTCCTTTTTCTATGCTGTTAGGGAATTTTAAAAACATTTTATTAAGAGCATTTTATGGGTCATTTTTGGTGTTGTTGTAGTTCATCAAAATACGTTCTAGGGGGTAATGATTATGACATGGAATTCCAATTTATTTTAATACAAACTACATTGGCTTTTATCAAATTAAAACGCTAGATTCTTGGTGCAAGATCCTGTCGTATGCGGTATCTTACTTTACTACGTATTTTCAAAATCTCAGGGTTTCATCCAATTTTTACTTTCTCGCGCTTAAGAAGGAACTTCGTATAAAGAGAAAGTTATGTAATGCTGCGCGAAAAAACGGAGAATTTGTGACAGAAAAATTCCTATTATAGGGCCCTGGTACGGAAAAAATGGATAAATCCTCTTGCTAAATTTAGAAAAAGTCTAATACGTGGTGTAGCCAGAATACATGTTTTGTGGGTCCTTGATACCGAAAAGTCGATTGACGGCAAAACGTCTGTCTGTCCGTCTGTAAACAACAGTACTGGCTAAACTGTTCACCCAATTATTTCCAAAATTCGTCGTGGCCCCTTGAATTTTTAAATACATTGACATGTTCATCCTTGCCAGTCAAATGACCGTTTTCCTTTACTGGTTTTATACATTCCAACTAGAAGTCTGATGTTGTTTTGTGTCGGAGTCTGATGATTTGTTTGAAAAGTAATTCGCTCCAAAAAGAATATTCCATTCTTATGTGTTATACATATTTTGATATCATTTTAACAAGCCATAGTTAGCCCAAAGGCAGACGTTCGCGCGTTTTAGAGCACGGAAACGCGCAAGTCGGCAACGCCGTGCGCGTAGCGCGCTTCATTCAAACGAACAACAAGTTCTTAACAAGAGTTCTTACACTTCCCTCGGTATATGGGGAGCAACAGAAAGATGTTCACTCGTAGAAAATCTTACCTATTGGAAATAGCTGAAATTTGATGGATATAATAAAAATATAAATTTTGCTCGATAGAAACTGTAATGTACAAAAAAATTTTGAAAAATCGTAAGAAAGAAAATTTTTTGGCAACATTCGAAAAAAATTCAGGGTTTTCAACGAAAATGAGACTTTCACCATTCGCATATCCTTCACATTATTGAACAACACAATTTAATAAAAACGTTGGAGCTATTATTCCTCTTAAAATAATCCGAGGTAAAGAAAAAGGATTAGCTAAAATTTCAAATGATTAGGCATTCATTAATTGTTGTAATTTATTTTAAAAAATATATATTGCATAACTAGTATAAAACGTGTTTCATAACTGTTACCAAAGGCGAGAAATTACGTGCTGATTTACCACAATTAGTTATGATAACGTTTACGTTCAGCTTGGAATGATGCCATGGAATAACAGGTAACAAGTTTTGGTTTTCATTTTACGTTTACGTTTCTTAGTGGATTATCCGCAGTTTGTTGAAAGATTTGTCACTTTTGAATCGTGATGGAATCGACTTTATTTATTTATTTTTATATACTTATTGATAGTCTCTTTTACTTATTAAGTTTTAGTAATATAATATATAACGTTTCGTAAAAGTCAAAGAAATAATTTTTGGGAGAATGGACGAATTTTTCTTCAGGTTTTCCTGAAAAACTATTCCGTATCATTGAAACGGTAGAAGAACTTTCCTTAACAATTATCTACATCACCGAATCGTCTTCAAGCTTTTCACCAGAGGTGCACTTACATTAAATTGGCAGAGTATTGAATTACAATTCTACCTTCGTCATACACCTTGCTACCCAATTCCAAAAAACATTTTCCTATCCCGTTTTATTTTTTGTATATAGCAGTATAATCACCTACTTTTTGTATAAAACATTATAAACACGTGATGTGCATGTATTATTTTTGCCAGTATTTTTCTGGTCAACTATCTTATGGTGCAAATCTGTGCAGTATCTGAAACGTAGAAAGAGTTTTGATAAATCTTAGAAAAGAAAATGCACCATTCGCAGTGTTTGGTGGCAGTATCAGAGACTTGCCATTGAAAAATCTTTAGGTTTAAGCATCTTTAAGTATCTACAGCAGTAGCCTCTATTCTTCTACACTTCACAGTTTACGCTTACGCCTGTTACGTCTCCACTGTATCTTTCCATTTCTTCTTGTGTCTTCCCATACCTCGTTTCCCTTTCGGTTTGTATACAATCTATACTCATCTTGGCAGTCTTGTTTATTCCCTTATTTCTAAGCGCTGCAACCAATTTTTCCTGTATATTTTCATTATATTATTTATGCTATTCACATTCCATTCTCGCCTGATTCCTTCACGTTTTAACTGGTCTTCTAAGATGAAGCCTTTCATTCTTCGAAGGAACCTGATTTCTCAACTCGCGAAGCTAGGAGGGGAATTATATGAGAACTTCCAAAGCATGAGTGGTATTTAATAGGACTATTCCACGAGTGCAATTATGTGCAACAAAGTTCCAAAATGTGCCAAATTTAGAAAATAACTGAAAGCAATGTTAAAATCAAAGAGGTTAAGTTATAGTAGAAACGCTGTGTATTGGACATCAACATAGCGGTCTATGTATGGTGAAAGGAGCGTAGCGAAATTGCGTGGTCAGACGGAAGAGCGGGCCTGATGGCCCGAGTCTCGCCACGTAAAATAAGGCAAATTCAATTCAATTCAATTCAATATGTATAATGCTTCCTAAGATAGATGGGTCACAGTTTATGATTGGCCAGTAGGTAGAAGCGATAAGAATAATCAATTAGAAAAACGATAAACGTTTTTAGATATACCGCCCTGATTGGGGCATTTTGTTTGTGAAGTTAAATATATATATATATATATATATATATATATATATATATATATATATATATATATACAATTTTACAATTTTGGTTTTCTTACTATGTGATGAGTAGTCATTAAGCACTTTGCCTGAAAATGTCGGTTTTCTGAACCAATTTGTTTCCATTCTTAGTGATTGTAACGTCTAAGAAATTGATTTTGTTATCTATTTATCTTTCAATGGTAAATTTAAGTTTAAGATCCAAGTTATTAAACACTATAATGATATCGTGGAATATATCTTGCTGCATAATAATAAAGGTATCGTTGACATAGCAATGGTAAAACTTAACACTGAATTTATATAAAATATCAGGTTATAGTTTCTGCATTATAATTTCTGAGCAATAAATCCTTAATACACCCACAATAGCCGCATCATCAGAGTGTTTATAGATTGCATCATTGACCTTGAAAGTTGTGTTACTAAAAATTACATTTACTGCAATAATTATTTCTTTTTATTGCGAATATATCATTTTTTGTCCCTTTAAAGAGTTTTAAGTTCAAAAAAATGCCTTTATTTTAATGAAAACATATGTGAAATTTATTATTTTCCCAAACATTGTTCATGACTTTATATAAAGCTATTGATTAAACAGATTGCATTAAGAAAGTAAGAAGGCTTATGAAATGATCCAGTTTGCTTCATTCGACATATTTAATGCTATATCTCCATCCCTGGCACTTAACGCTCCATGAAAATATTTCTGAAGATATTCATAGGTTACTAAAAAATACACATTTAACTTTCTATTAATTTTAAAATTAATATCGTCAATAGTCAACAGATTGTATTTTATTGAAAAGAACATAATTTTATTTCATAACTAGCAAAAAATTCCAAGAGTTTACTTGTTTGTTTTTGTTAACCATAAAATATTTAAGATTGGCTTTGCTATGTTCTTCACACAACTTAATCTATTGCTTCTTTGTAAGATTTCCTGCTACGATCTTCAGGATATATTCTTACATTATTAAGTTTTACTGCGTGATAACTCTGCTTAAGTGAAAAAACCATGAGGTAACGTACGCTTGTCATTAGATGGAACTCATGATTCACTCTCAAGATGTCACAATATATTTTTATATTCCATTTACCGCTTAGTGCTATCTCTTTAGGAAATTAAAAGCTGTGGTTTGCGTTGCATTGAAGAACTTTGTTCTGCAGACTACTTACGACCTACGTCACATTTATAAAATGATTCCAATGGATGCACACGAAATAGCCACTAAGTAAGTATTAAACCAAAAAAACAACTAAACTATTCATTCAATATTGTAGACCGGAGTCCTTTTTTTCACTAGCCTGAATCTTTAAAACTTACGTATGTAACCCTGTACTGCAGCTGACATTCTTAACTTCATATTCAAAACGAACACATTCGTTTATCAAAACTACTTGCCAATATCTCCCTCTTTTACTTGTCAATAAGTAAGCATGAATACACAAAATGCACATTTTCCTCAATATTTGAAAACTTTTTTATAAGTATAAATTATATATAGACAACATTCCAATTATCTCTATGGGGTACTTTTTGTTTCTGTATAATCAGGACTTTACGTTTTTAAGTACGTAAGAAGTATTGTAATGCACGCCGGAATGGAGAATATTCGACAAAAAATACTCTTACTGTCAGACCCTGGAAACGAAAAAGTGGAAAAATCTTGTTCTCTCATATTGAATTGCTTCCTGCAACACGTGATTTAGTCATAATTTATATTTAGTGGGTCCTTGATACTGAAAAATCGACTGACGGCAAAAAGTCATTCTGTCCATCTCTCCAAAATCTGAACTATCTAAAAATTCTAATTACCGACGGGACCAATTGATTTACTTTTTTGGCATCGTGCTGTGTCTTACTAGATGGTTCTTTGGCATCAGAATCAGTACCAACCGCTAGGTTCATTGATTTTAAATTAACTTTAGCAATAATACATTCTCAACCACTTAACTTTCATTGGACGATGCCGCTTCTAAAGGAAAAATGCAAATATTGCGCCTTCACAATTAACAACATTTTCATAAGATAAAAATATACTTACGGAAATGTGGACCTCAAACGTCCTCTTACAGTAACTTCCTTAAGCTCTACTGTCACTGTACTATACGAATGACGTAAATAACCCCGGCTAGAAGTGCATGCGACGTGAAACCGCTCACTTGCGGTTGTTCGAACTGTTATCATTACAGTCCGATGTCCAGGAACTTACCTAAAGTGCACAGGAAAAAAGGAATTTATTTTTTACTAAAACTGGGAGGTAAAAACCCATTTATTCAGGCTACAGTAAAGGGTGCAAAAAGGCATGTACTCGCATGTGCAAAGAAAAATCACATTTAAAAGGAATTATATAAGAAAGTAATACTTAAAGTGATTCGCACTTTTATTGTACAAAAATTTCCTTGCACTTACGTGTAAGGAAATAATGTTTTCTTTTTAATCTTGATTCACCATGATCGCCTGGTATGATAATTACGAATTTGTTTTACTCGCGACAGTTTATTCGAAATTATATTGCTGCCTCCCTTCTGCACCTTGAAATGGTATCAGTGAAAGCGGAATTATATTTTACGTTCTTTGTACTTATGGAGTCGTCATCGCTGAGAAGGGCACATCATATTTACAGATATGCCCCCAAAAGGGATCAGAAGCCGCACTAAAAATAGGATCGACGAACGAGGCCTGACGCTATAAATGAAAACATCAAATATCTTGACTGGTATGATCTTTTTTCTCTCCTTTAGATTTTTATCGCTATCTGGCTCTGCAGCCTCCTCTTCTACAGAAAGGCAAAACATGACCAAGTCTTCGTGTGGATCAGTTTCCAGCTTAATCGAGATCATACAAGGAAAAAATAAGTAGTGCTACAGAAAATATTTTCTCGTATTATATGTAACGGATCTGGAATATTATACTACTACATGAACCTGTAAACATGTTTTCAACTAGCCAAAATAGTTTTCGCACCGACAATTGAACACAGTTCCATCGAGATAACTCGCCATGCTCCTTAAAGCTACACCAGGTCGCCGTCTGACGTATCAACTAAAGACGACGCTTAGAAAAGGAATTGTTTTGCCCAATATTTCCAACACGTAATTTTCTAAAATTCAAACACATCAACGACAGTGATTCCTGCTCCATTCTTTTATGCGTTCTTACGTAGGTTTATCAGAGAAAATCTGAAGAACAAAATTAGAGTCTTTTTGAGAGAAAAAAATGTTTAAAAAAATTTAAATTCCCTATATTTCACGCTAAATTACGCAAGAACTACTTATATTTTCGAAAATTTGTACATTAATTTATTTAAAGATGTGTATACAAGAACAGATTTATTCTGAAAAAATCTCTATTTTCAATCCTATAGTGGTAAGACGACTCCGAAAAATACTGGAGCGCTTGCATTTTCCAAAATATCAGGGATTTCAACGAAAATGAGACCTATAGCATCCTCTTATGCGTATGTCACGAATCCACTCAACTCGACGTTCCCGCAACAGCGTATACACACGAGTACCCACGAACGTTTGTACCGCCAATTAATTCAGCTGCAGCTGCATTGACACTCACTGAACTACGCTGTCCGTTGGTCTCTCTGTTGAGGAAATTTAAATAATAGTACTAAGTTCAAAAACAAATTGTCATGGCTAATAAACAGACAATCAAAGCTGTCCTTGCATAACAAAATACTGATTTATA